CAAACGGCTTCAAGCAGCCACCAGAATCCGCGGTGCTGCGTCGCTTGTGAGTATTAAACTCTTTGTTGAGGTTATTAGATTTTGAGTATTCAAAAATCGAAAGTGCAATTTTTTGAAGACCCACTTCGAGAGCTCAGAGCCTTTTCCTTAAGCAAAGGCTTATTGACAACAGTACTGCTACGGTGCCAGAACTATGTTCAAGCAATTCACACTTGGAGTTTGGCTTTGTCCTCGTAGTATGGAAAAGAATAAGCAGTGGATGTTACATAGCCGGAGGCAGCAGCAGAAAGTTGTGATTCTGTCACAAACGCACCGTTTTTCCCCTCTAAGAGCGAGGCAGCTGCCGCTGCAGCAGCAGCTGGAGACGAGGAAATGGAGAAGATGCGCAAACAACTGCTGTTCTTTCAACGCCTCCGTCAAGACCTTGAACGCGCCCGTCTGCTCTCCGAGTTGGTACGCAAGCGAGAACGTGTTAAGTTGGAGCTCGTCTCCAACTCTCGTGCTCAATTAGAGAGTAGGATCGTACCCACTTTTCGAATGCTCAGGAATCTGATTGAAGATTTGCAGGTAGATCTCCTTTTTACGGGATTTTCGTCCCCAAATTCGACTGTTTCTTCGAATTCTACTCCTTTATACCTTAGGCTAAGGACACAAGGAATTTCTTCGAGGCTCCGGTATCAACGGACGTTGCACCGGATTACTATTCAGTGATAAGAAAGCCTATGGATTTTGAGACTATGCGAAACAAGTGCATCGACCACGAATACCTCCAGGTTTCAGAAGTTCAAAACGATTTTAATCTCATTGTTAAAAATTGTTGCGAGTACAATGGTCGTGACACGGTTTACTACAAGGCTGCAGTAGCTATGGCAGAGCAGGTACGAACAAACACTTAACCTAAAGTTGCTTAGTGTGCCCCTATACTCAAGGAGGCTCTAGAGAATGAACGCTTTGACATATTTGACTGGAACGGTGAGGATACGTCCACTCCAACAGTCTCGCTGACAGAATCCATCAAGGCGCCAGAGGGTACAGGTGTCAATTCCGGGGGTCTTTTGATTCCGATTCCACTTGAAGAGAATAATCGCGACAATCGTACCTTTGAAGATAAGCTGGAATTGACGAAACCGGCTACAATCACACGTGGTCGTTTGAAATCTCGTGATCCCGCGGAAACTGCTTCGGTTTTCGAAGAACCACCATCGAAAAAACGGTACTCTTACTAGTTGCCGGGTTCCAGTAATTCCTCATATAATCTGCTCTCTGCTTTTAGATGCTTGAGGGAGTCAACGACTACTAGCGTTACCCAACCACAGAGTCATCGTTTGCGCCGGTCCTGGTTCCCGGAGCCTTTGACTCTCGTTACAGAAAGCACCACAAATGAGGCACCTGTAGTTGGAGGCACGATGTCGACGTTTTTGATGCCCGAAATGCTCTCAAATCAAGATAGCACTACAAAGACTACCGTTCTACGCCTACCTCACTCCCCCGACCGAGCACGACCTGCTTTCACCATCTATCGCTCACGATTGGCCACAAAGGAGGAAGATGAAGATGATAGTGATGATGATTCGGAGGAGGAGACGGAAGATTCAGAAGACACTCAAGACACTTTGGCGGCAGCAGCAGCAGCAGCAGCGACTACTTCCACCAATTATGCCACGCCGAGAAACACAACCAACACTTCCACTGGTGTCGCTGACGGTGGACGTCTGCTTCGAAACCGATCCATTGAAAAATCAGATGTTAATGCTATCAAATCAGCCAGCGTAAGGGTAAGTTCCAATTTTTATGGTTAAAATATCCTCACTTTATCGGTGATTGACTTTCATTTTGGATCAGAAACTGCCCTCACTGAAAAGTGTTGTCAGATCGGCGGCCAGAAAATCTAACAATCGAAGTGTTCATGGACAAGGATGGACTCTCTCCAAATTCATGTCATTTAAGAATCCGAGTCAATCTGCAGTCAGGAAGCGGAAACCACCGAAAAAAGGACGACAGCGAAGAAGCATGCCGAAAACGAACACACAACAGGCAGGTTCAGAA